GAATGAGAGATATGAATGATTTATTATGGAAGTTTAATTACGATGAATTAGGAAATAATTATTTTTTAGCTAAAAAGAGGTTTGATGAGTTAGTAAAGGATTTTTCTAAAAATGATTGGGTTGCTAATGAGTATAGGAATATAATAAATTACCAAAAACAAAATGGAGTTATTGAGGAATGTGGTAGAGATGAGCATGAGTATTTTATGCCTCATAGAGCAGTTATTAGGGAAGATAAAGAAACAACCAAAGTTCGTATAGTCTTTAACTGCAGTTCAAAATCTAAAGGTAATCTTTCGTTAATTGTTTGGAAATTGGCCCAAATTTAAATCCAAATATTCTTGATGTGATTCTAAAATTTCGTAATTACAAAATAGCGTTTAATGGTGATATAGAGAAGGCTTTCTTAATGATAAAAATTTCTGAAAAAGATAGAAAATTCTTAAAATTTCTTTGGTATTCAGATAACTTTTGTGAAGAATATAAAATTATGAGAATGAAAAGACTACCCTTTGGATGTAAAAGTTCCCCTTTCATTTTGAGTGCTACGATAAAGCATCAAATAAAAAAATATAAGAAAAGTAAACCGAAGTCATTTGAAATGTAAATTCATCACTTTACGTAGACGATTTATATTATGGTGGAGACAGTGTGAGAGAATCATTTGAGTTGTCGTCGGATGCTGTATCAGTATTAAAGAGTGGTGGATTTAATTTAAGGGAAACTGAGGTCGAACAGTAGAGAATTAGAAAAATTGTGGATAGGAAATGGACTTAGTGACAGTGAGATAAAGGGAATTCAGCAGCTGAAAGTCCTAAGGGTGAATTGGAATCCTGATAGAGATGAGTTGTCGCTGGAGGTGAAGGGTTTGGTGGATTCGTGGAAAACGTTGCGACGAACTAAAAGATGTGTTTTACAGACAGCTGAAAGAATCTTTGATCCCATTGGTTTGATTGCGCCGTTTGTGATACGTAAAAAGTTATTGTTACAGGAAATTTGGGAGAGAGCGTGTGATTGGGATGAGAGTTGCCGGAGGACTTGTAGGAAAAGCGGATAACGTGGTGTAACGAAATTGAAAAATTAATAGACGTTACTATTCCGAGATATTGTTTTTTCTGGATTGTGAGAATGAGCAATCGGAAGTATATGTGTTTTGCGATGCTTCACCAACTGCTTACGGAACTGTTGTTTATTTTAGATATTGTGAGAATAACGGGAATTACAGAGTATCTTTTATAATGTCGAAGAGTAGATCACCGTTAAAGAAACTAACGCCACTGTTGGTGCTAATGGCCGCCATGGTAGTAGGTGCTAGAGTGGGAAATTATTTATTAATTAGTAGTGTTTCCAAGGATAAAATTGGAAGAATAGTGTTTTGGGGTGATTCTTGTATTGCGTTGCATTGGGTGAAGGAAAGTGCGAAGAGATGGAAACAGTTCTTTGCCAACCGGGTTGTGGAAATTCAGGAAAGATCGAGTCCAAGTGATTGGGATCATCGTCCCCGCAGATTTGCTTACTAGAGGAATCTCGGCTGAGAAGTTGGTACTTAATGAAAAATGGTGGTCAGGTCCAATTTGGCTTCGAAAAAGTTTTGAGCGTTGGACTAAACAGTGGGTTAGAGGGTTACCAAATGTAAAGAGTGCGGAAATACTAAGAGAGCAAAAAAAATTCTGTCAAATGTTTTGTAGTTCAGCTGGAATTAGTTGAGCAGCTTTGGAACAAATTTTCAGTTTGGATAAGTTGCAGAGAGTTGTTGCTTGGATTTTTAAGGTTTATAAGAAATGTGAGGGGGAATAGGATTTTGACTTAGAAACAAGTGAACTAAAAGAAGCGTATGATATTATAATCAAACTAGTCCAAAGAACTGAGTATAAAAAGAAAATAGCTACTTTAGAGAAAGCGAGAGTGTTAAAGAAAAGTTCTTTAATTTCTCTAAATACGTTCTTAGCCAACAGTGGCATACTACGTGTAGGAGGATGTTTAAGAAATGCCAGCTTACCAGACTCTGTGAAACATCAAATAATATTGCCTAAGAATCATCCTGTTACAAAATTGTTAGTGACATTTTATCACCTTAATTATATGCACGGAGGAGTACAATTAGTTAACTCTGCGATGAAACAAAAGTATTGGATTATAGGAGCAAAAACTGCAATACGCAGAGGAATAAGAAAGTGCGTTATCTGCGCCAGATTTTGCTCCGAGTTTTCGAAACAAATGATGGCTGATTTACCTTCTGCGAGAGTGAATCCCCGAAGACCATTTCTTAAATGCGGAACTGACTTTTCAGGACCATTCTTGATCAGCCCTAGACGTGGTAGAGGAGTTAAACCACTGAAAAATGTACGTGTGTGTGTTTGTATGCTTTGCAACGAAAGCCGTCCATTTAGAACTTGTTAGTGACCTTAGTGCTCAGGCATGCATTGCAGCTCTGAAACGATTCATAGGACGACGAGGAAAGCCCGCTGAAATATTCAGTGATTGTGGAACGAACTTTATCGGTGCAAAGAATTACTTAAAAGGGTGTACAATGGAGTCACTTGTTACGTACTTGACCAACGAAGGCGTTAAATGGACAATGAATGTTCCATCAGCCCCTCATTTTGTAGGCCTATGGGAGGCTGCCGTTAAATCCATGAAGTTTCACATGAGACGTGTTATAGGATCGCAGATCCTCTCACAAGAAGAATTTTCAACTTGTCTAGTGGAGATTGAAGCCATACTTAACTCCCGTCCTTTAGTGGCTGCTTCTAAGGACCCAAATGATTTTTCTGTCATTACACCGGGTCACTTTATTATCGGTTCCGAGTTAAAAAGTGTTCCTGAGCCTGACATAACAAATGAGAAAGTTCCCATCCGTGAACGGTGGAAATTAGTCACACAGATTTCCCAATCGTTTTGGAAATCGTGGTCAAAAGACTACTTAACTCAGTTGCAAGTGCGCAACAAGTGGAAACTTCCCAGTGCTGATTTACGTGTGAATGACTTGGTGCTAACCAAGGATGAGAACTTGCCGCCACTTAAGTGGAAGATGGCAAAAGTAATTTGCACTTATAAGGGAACTGACCAAAGAGTAAGGTCAGTCAACTTAAAAACTGCGTCGGGTGAAATGAAAAGACCAATACATAAACTGGTCAGACTTCCTATAAATAACTGATTGAATTATTTCTTTCCATGTTTTATAATTATATTTACAGTTTGTTTAAGTTTTATGTGTTGCATTATATTTCAGTTTATATTTCTAATTGAGCTGATGACGGGGTCATGGGGGCTCAGTGTGTTACGCCATCCATTGCCCGCCGTAAGAGGGCGCTGTTTAATCTTGCTAGTTTTTCTGTATCATAGTATATGTTAGTGAGTAGGAATAAATGTCTTGTTCTTAAAGGCAGCGTCGATCTCTTTTGATGAGTGTGGAGTTCAATTTCTGCCCCCCTTCACAAAATGAGGTGAACAGCGACAAATATTAAATCTTCTTTTCTTATTCCTTTTACAGCAAACATTTTACCTTATTTTCATGCAATAAGAGACGAAATCAAAAGGTCAGATAAAATTATTGCCTACCTCTTATCTTCTTGATGACGCTCACCACGACGACAAAGTGACCCCACTCCGGACACCAATGTGATGATTGATTCTGAAAGGTTCTTTAGTTTGCTGTCATCCGTGATGTTAATCCAATAATGGGACTTCTTTCTTCTCACACATTATTATATATATATGTAGGGTTCTCTTTTAAATCAGAGCATGAACGTAGCATTTTAAATATGCTTTTATTTAACAATAAGAAATAAAAAATAATAAAGATAAATTAAGTAAAGAGTAAAGTTGCAGGATTAAGTTAACAGTCCACCCGATTCATATAATGATGCACAGACAGTCCTTTCACGCAAACATTCATGAGTAGCTTTAAATAATATAATCAGCTAAAGGCATAACAGCTAAAGGCGAAACATCAAGAGAAGAATCAAAACTCCGAAATAAGACCTAAGAAGACCGTCTGTCTTCTTCAACTCTTGAAGGCATGCGAGCCGTCTGCTCGCATCTCCACTCGCATCCACGTTGGACGCTATCTACTGCTGTCTGGAATGATTCTTACTGCACTGTGCGGTGATGACGTCAGCTGGTACTTCACTAAGTCGGCATCAGGCGTTGATGATTTCCACATATATATATAAGAGGTATTAATTAGATTACAATATATTTACATAAGATCAATTGAAGAGTACACGCCTACATATTATAGTGTAGTCCTATTAAGATGTACGATGAGTGCACGCCTGCGAAAATCGTGCAGTCATCTCCGACGCTGTCCAAACCCTAACTGGCTCTTCCTTGCGGCAATCAATCGCCAGAGGGAGTTGTACAACTTTTTCCCTCGAATACCAGGGGGAGGGAGGTATGAGACATTACAGTCTTCAACTTCTGTGGATTTTATCCCCCTCTCCCTAAAGCTCATACAAAGGTTAATTGGTATATGGTTACCGAACAGCTAAATTCTATAAACAGCAGATCCACACTTCGTTATGACTGCGATATTGAGCTGGAAATCACCAGATTAAACTCCAAAATTCAAAAAGGTATCAATAATGCTACCTATACAGTCAAGAATAAAAATCCTTATGGCATCTCAGAAGAAATTAAATCCCTTATACAAGAAAGAAATGGACTTAAAAAAAGATAGCACATTACTCGCAATCCTACTGAAAAACGTCATATTAATTATTTAAACAGAAAAATAAAAGACGACATCGTCACCCATAGATCAAATTCGTGGGATAATTTTCTAGAAAACATGGATCTTTACCCAAACTCTGTTTGGAAAGTAGCTAAATCACTCAGAAATCTAATCACACTAAATCACCCAATCAAATTCACCCCCTGTATCACATGGGCAAATTTCACCACTCCGAAGATTCCATTGCTGAAATTCATGCAAAAGAATTAGAAAATATTTTTAAACAACATGAAAATAATAATTCGGATCACGAAAAGGATATTAATTACTCTGTCAATAGCATCCTCAAGAGTCCCAGCATTAATTTTTTTACGTCTGCATCTCCAAACGAAGTTCAGCAAATTATTAAAAAATTAAAGAAGCGCAAAGCTAAAGGATATGACATGATTTCTAATGAAGCGTTGCAAGCTTTACCTAGAAGATGCATAGTCTTAATTGCAAATATTTTTAATGCTTGTATTAGACTCAGCTACTTTCCATTGCAGTGGAAACACTCAATCATTGTTAGCATCCCGAAACCAGGAAAAGATCCAAAGCTAGCGAAAAATTACGGACCCATCAATCTTCTGCCAGCGCTTGGAAAAGTTTTTGAACGAGTACTTAGTGCTCGGCTCACCAATCATCTAGAACGCCTTAATCTAATAGACAAGCATCAATTTGAATTCCGCAAAGGCCACAGTACCACACATCAAATATTAAATTTAGTTGAATTTATTGTCCAAGAATTTACAAAAAAGAACGGAGTAGCGGCATGCTTCCTCGATTTCGAAAAAGCTTTCGATCGAGTGTGGCATGTTGGCTTACTTCATAAGCTAATTTCCTTTTACCAAACAGCTTTATCGAGCTTATGCATTCTTATTTTAAACATCGTATTTTTCAAGTGCGCTGTGGTGAAGCAATCTCTTCAAAAAAAAAAGTGATTTACAGTGGAGTAACTCAGGGCAGTGTTTTAGGACCGAAGCTTTTTACAATATTCATAAATGATATGCCTCTACCTTTTCATTCTAATATACTCAAATATGCCGACGACACAGTCATCCTCACCAGTTCACAAAGTCCAAATAATGCTTTAGAGAAACTTCAGCTCCAAGTCAACATTATTAACAAATTTTGTCAAGACTGGAAAATCAAACTAAATACTGATAAATGCTGCGTAGTTCTCTTCCGCAGATACAGGAAAAATATCAAAGTGAATATAAATATCCGACTCAATAACCAAGATATTCCTGGTGCCAACTCCTATAAATATTTAGGTGTCTATATTGACAAAACCCTAAATTTCAAAGATCATATTCAATATGTTACAAATAAGGCTAACGCTGCTTCCATTGCTCTCTACTCATTAATTGGAAGAAACTCTAAGTTAAACCTCCGTACCAAGAAAAATATCTACATCTCACTTATTCGCCCAATAATCCTCTATGCAGTTCCAGCCTGGGCTACTGCCCGAAAAATAGACAGATACAAATTAAATGTTCTTCAAAACAAAATCTTACGTAGCATAGTGAACGTAAGATAACCCTGGTTCGTGCGAAATTCTCAAATTCACAAAGACCTGGATATCAACCCAATTCACGACCAAATCCTAATTTCTGCACACAACTTCTTTGAAGATATGAGAAATTCTCCCTATGAAGCTATTAAATCGTTTACAGACTATAACCCTACTATTGAGCACGTAGTGAAAAGACCTCGAACGATCCACCACAATTCTAAGTGGTGGTAGTGTATATTATATTGTACAAAATTTTTATTTTACTATTACTCTCCAGTTACTATTCAAGAAAGATGAACTTTGCAAAGTTAGGACTTCATTTTTCATCGATGAATTCTTCGTTTTACTAATAATTTAACCAAGATTTTTACTTTTACTTTTTATTTTTACTATTTCGTATCGTGTGTTTTAAAATCAAAGTTCGTGGTCAACACCAAGTGCTTACTCTCACTCATTAGCCTTAGTGAGCCACATGACCTCATTTTCGTCTTTTACGGTTTACTATTCATTTAATGATTATATCGCAAGTTTAGATGATTTTCAAGTGTTTCAAAAGACATAGGACTCTTAAATTCACAGATAGATGTTGCTTTTACTATGTTCGAACTTTATTTATTTCCAAAACCTACAAAAAACTTCATTTTTCGAACTCTGACTCCTCGACCAATCTTAATGCCGGACGCTGATCACGTGTTTCTGCTCTTCTAGACTCACACAGAAGCTTAGGCTTTCATTTCGCCTCTCGCCGCCATTGATATAATCTGCCATGATATGCAATTTAGCAAAACTTATTTTATGAGTTCTCTCATTTATTGATCTCGCCTTCGGGCGTGGTGTATTTTTAAATACACCTTTTAAATTTTTAACTTTATGGCCTGTGGTATAATGATAATATACTGGTAAGAGCTCCTAGTAGCTAAAGCCAGCAGTAAAGATATGATCCAAGATCCACATAATATGAACGAAATATAATACTGTTAAGTGGACCTAGCGCCAGAGTGTCGCTATGGTAAACAGTGTAATACTTCTTTGGCGATATGAAGCAACTCCAATGATGGAACACAGTAATAACTTTTATTTAACACTCAAAAAACGCGACATACAAAACAAGAAGAAAAAAAGAATACTAACATTTAAAAATAAATTACATTCTTCGTGCGAGAGTCGCACGTGGCACTCGAGTCTGGTTTCAAATATTGCCATTCACAAATACCTTAATGTTCATCTATTTAAATTATTTAAACTACAAGATTTTAATATTATTTAAAGTTGTTACAACCTCTACCCCAACGGAGAGACTTTTGCCGAAAGGAAAAGTTCTGTAAAATTCGAAAGTCTATAAACTCGGCTTGCTCAATTGCTTAAAGAGAAAAGATAACTTCTCTCATAAGTTTCCAAATTTTCAGGCCGAAAATTTTAAGTTTTAAACAAATATTTTTACACCACATTTAAATAGGAAGAAAAGGGACAGTGTTCAAATTAGTCTTCTTTTTTTTTTCTTGACGGCGCCTAGATCTCTTCCATGGTGGACCAGTTCCTCGGCTATAATTCACAGCAAAGCCTTTCCTCAGTTCATCTGTGCCTTTCGGATAATATTCATTTGTCATTTGCTTTCGACAATTGTTTTCTTCGTCTATTACTAGCGGCTTTGATATTAAATCAAAAGCCGAAAGATGATGATAACGCTGCATTGCAAAATGATTCTCAATATTAATTTCTTTATCGTTTTTCAAATTTTCGTGAACATCTTCCACGTTTAATTCCGGTGATTTAACTTCTTCTCCAAATACATCTCTGGATGCTTTATTTTCTTCCTTCATCGGTTCAAAGATCTGCTCTTCAGCTATTTTTCTTTTCCTTTGAGCTCTAGTAGAAACGGCATTAAAATGGTATCACTAAGTTTACGTTCAAGTGATAAACTAATAAA